TCGCGTGGGCACAACCACCGCGAAGGCACATGACCTTGAAGGCAGTCCTCATTGACAAAGGAATTATTGTGGCCGTCGGCGGCAGGCACGACGCCTCAAGAGGGCCTGCAAGGTTGCTAGCATTTGGTCGGGCTAGGCTCCTAACAGTCTCCATTCAGTCCATTATTTTTAATTGAATGATTCACTCAAGAATTGATTTTGGTTGCACAATCCTGTCTACCCTACGCCAATCCATTAACATCCCTAAAGTGTCACCATGCAACCCAGTTTACGATTTTTCACCATTTAGGATGAGCTGAATGCTGCCAGCATTGTTGACATTCCTCTCAACCATCCGAGCCCGCGCATCTTGGCAGAGCTGGAGCGACAAAAATCCATTGGCAAGCGAATGGTCTCCATTCGCCAACGCATGAATTCTCGGTATGACCATAACTTTATGCTTCTTAATTTGCTCGGAAATTTATCGCTAAGTAAAGTTGTATAGGCGCAGGTTGAATGTGGGCATGCATCTTTGGGCCGACGTCTAACATCTACAGCGGTATAACCGCGTAAAATTAATTAATCAACTAACAGGCTTTTATAACCTTAAATTCTTTCTACTAAAATTATTTAAGTAGACAAAACATGTTAACCGCAAACAGACAGCCAGCAGTAGTGTCTGCACAGGTCCTAGTTTAAAGCCCATACAGACCTGTTGAGTTGATCTTCTGCTGCTGCATGACACAATTGCCCAGGGTCCGGTTCATCAGTGGGTTGAATAACACAGTTTAAAAAAACTGTTTGTTGCTCTTTTATACCCCTGGGGGTCTCTAGTTTCATTCTTGCATGCCTTTCTTTCTCTGCAGGACCGCCCTCTATCGCCGCGAAGCCTGCATAACAAACCCGAAAAGCGCACCGGATGGAATTCAGAAACAACAGTATGTCATTCAAATATCAGCCCTGTATCAGACTGATGTCCTTTATTTCACCAGCACACTCGCTATGTTTTTTTCTAGAGACGAGACTGCAAAGCGAAGAGATGCTGAGATGGCTACTTT